TTCAGGGCAAACCAGCCAGCCCCCACCCGTGCACCAGGCCTCTATCCTATATAGTAAAAGGGTAATATGCAAACTGACCCTAACAGCAGAAAGACTGGGAATGACTGGTCACTATGACACACACTGACCACCAGGGGGCAGACGCTCAATGCAGGAGCTGCCCTCTGGTGGTCAGTGAGCTCCCACATTGGGGAGCTCTGCTCAGCCACAAGCCAGGCTGATGGCTGCCAGTACAGCGGTGGTGGTGAGAGCCTCTCCTGCCTCCTCAACAGTGCTAAGGATGTCTGACTACAGCTTAGGTCTGCTCCCCAGTGGCAAGTGGACATCCCCTGAGGGCTGCCAGGCTGCCAGAGGGATGTCTGATTGCCAGTTTAGGCCCAATCCTCAGGGGAGCAGGCCTAAGCCAGCTGGTGGTCATCCCCCAAGGGGTCCCAGGCAGTGAGAGGGCACAGGCCGGGCTGAGGGACCGCCCCCCCCACAAGTGCACAAATTTTTGTGCACTGGACCGCTAGTATAAAATAAATATCAAAAATATAAATCTTGTTTTACTATGGTTGCAAATATCAAAAATTTCTATATGTGACACGGCACCAGAGTAAAGTTAGGGTTTTTCAAAATGCTGACACGCCGAGCTCAAAAGGTTCACCATCACTGGCATAGTAAGAAGTGGTTTTTCTAAAAAAATGTTTTTATTGGCTTTAGAGAGACAGGAAGGGAGAGGGAGAGAGAGAGAGAGAAACATCAATGAGAGGGAGAAAAATCAATTGGATGCCTCCTGCTTCCTGCATGCTCCCCACTGGGGATCAAGGCTGCAACCTGGGCATGTTCCCTGACCAGGAATAGAACCGGTGACCTTTCAGTGCATGGGACAACGATCAACCAACTGAGCTACACCAGCCACTCCCTACTGGGAACCCCCAGACACAAAGGATACTGATTACATTTCTATTTCCGGTACAAAAACTTGGCGTTTTTAAAAAACCCGGCATAAAAAACTTAGAAATTCAAGTATATAGAGTTCAGAACACGATGTTAGATTCAATCTCTAAGAAGTCAAAAAAATAGAACCTGGAATTGTATGGGAATGTATCTGAAACGCTAGGATTACATGTAAATACAGCCTTTCTGTTGACGGGGCCCGTGTTCTAACACTGAAAACTGAAAGCCTTTGTGGCTTTTCAGATGAATATTAAATAGTCCAAACACTTTAAAGGCTTCAAAGACTCAAGGTTGGAATTTCTTACTGGGGGAAGCTCTTGTTTCCTTAAAACCCTCCTCCAGCCCTAGCTGGTTCGGCTCAGTGGATAGAGCCATTGGCCTATAGACTGAAGGAAGGGTCCTGGGTTCGATTACGGTCAAGGGCACATACCCGAGTTGCAAGCTCGATCCCCAGTGTGGGGCATGCAGGAGACAGCTGATCAGTGTTTCTCTCTCTCTCTCTCCCTTCCACTTGGAAATAAATCAAAATTATAAAAAACAAAACAAAACAAAAACCCTTCTCCACCTTCTCTTTTTTGTGTCTCTTACAGCTGACAGCTAGAACTTGTGTGGGATGGTTCAGGCTTCAGCATGGGCTGTCTGGGTTATTAAAATTTCCTTTACTCTCCTCCCTGTTATAATATTAATCAATACACGGAGGTCTTTCTGGCACCACAAGCACTATGCTCACAGAGTTCTCTAACTAGAGACCTGTGCATCTCACACACACACACACACACACACACACACACACACACACACGTGAAAGGCTTGGCTTTATTAGGGACCTCTGCTCCCTCCTACTAAATGGCCCCAGCTGACTAGACCAAGGGAGAAGTCAGCCTCAAGCCAGAAAAACTCTGACTTGGCTGATATGATAAAGAAAATAGATGAGCTGGGTCAACCAGTGTGTTTTGCAAGAGAATTTAATTTAGGGACCACAGCCCTGGCCCAGTGACTCAGTTGGTTGGTGTGCCATCCTGTACACCAAGAGGTTTCAGGTATGATTCCCAGTCCAAACCCATAGGATGTACAGCACCAAGAATGAACCATAATGTAAATGGTGGACTTTGGATGATGATAATGTATAACACCAAGAATAAACCATAATGTAAATGATGGACTTTGGATTAAATGGTCCATAGGCAACGAAAAAAAATAATAATTTCAACTCAAACTTTATACCTGACACCTTACCAAAAAATAACTCACAATGAATCCTAGAGTTAAACATGTAAAATGATAAAACTTTTTATGAGATAACACAGGAGAAACTCTTGATGACCTAGGGCTAGTAAAGAATTCTTCGATAACACTAGAAACACAATCTGTAAAATAAAAAAAATCAATAATATGAACTTTTTAAAAAATTTAAAACTTTCTTCTGTAAAATTTCCTGTTAAAAAATGAAAAGACAAGCTATATACATGGAAAATATATTTACAAATCACGTATCTGACAAATGAACCAAATCTAGAATATATAAAGAACTCTACAATTTAAGTCAAAAAACAATTTATCAATTAAGGGAAACTTTCCCAACTTGATAAAGAATATTTATAGGCGCCCTAGCTGGTTTGGCTCAATGGACAGAGCGTCAGCCTGCAGACTGCAGACTGCAGGGTTCCAGGTTCATTCCAGTCAAGGGCACATGCCCAGGTTGCGGGCTCGATCCCCAGTAGGGGGCATGCAGGATGATTCTCTCTCATCATTGTTTGTATCTCTCTCTTCTCCCTTCCTCTCTCTGAAATCAATAAAAAAATATATTTTTTAAAAAGAATATTTACTAGTATAGGCATTTTGCTGCGTCAACAGCCTCACCAGCCCTCACTCACTCGCATGTAGCCATTCCCCACCCTCAAGCCCCTTTTTGTCACTTTCTTCATCTTGACAACTGGAGGAGTCAGTTCTCTCCATGCTGCATTCTGGGGACACAGGTCTATTTAGCCTGCTTGTTGCTTAGGGGAAGCAAAGAGGCTGCACCTAGGAGAAAGCATTGCCACCTGAGAGGAATCCACCCCTCTACCCACCCATTCACCTGTCCCTCTGCCCCATTCACGATGCAGCCTGCTTCTGCAAGTGATAGAATTAAGGGAACTATGTCATTATTGAATTTTGTGTTGAAGACAGTAAAGATGTAAATTTTGCAATATTCAAACATATTCATATGTCTTGGAGAAAGTGATAATTTTAAGCATTTAAATGAAATTGATCTTTTTCACTGTACTGAGACAAATGATTCCAAGAATAAAAGAACAAACAGATCAATTTTATATTGTTTACAAAAAGAAGAATCTGGCCAGTCACGGCCAAGATTAACCAAAGAAAGGGCGAAGCTTAATTGGCTTAGTATGGACTGGGAAGATGATTCAAATGAAGATATGCCCAATTTTGATCATTTCTCTGAGATGATGAACA